CAACAAACCACAGAGCAACACAACTAAAAAACATCAAGGGCCTTTGACTGAAAACATGCACAACTTCCAATTTTATCAGTCTTGTTAAAAATATGTAGCTTCACATATAAATGAAAGGCATCTGAGAAAAACGTCTAATCCTGAAAAGCCGATGTTACAGAGCTTGCCTTGAAATGTTGATGCAGCAGACTATAGTGTGAGCCTGCAGTCCTCATGGTCATGCTCTTTAAAGCAAAAGGAAACAGAAAACTGTTCCCAAAGGCTTCTAAAGGCTCCCTCTTGCCTCTTCACATGTTTTTTTTGTTTTTAAACCTCTGTAGTCAAATGGGAAATTTCTGACAGCGTTTGAAGGAAATAAGAGGCAATTAAAAATTAATTCTGATGGATATTTTTGCAGCTGCTTGTTGTCTTTTTCCCCCCACTCTTGTTTCCTCTTGGGCTGCCCAGTGTTGCGGTGCTGTAGAGAGGCAATCGTACCTTTTTACGGCCCCCTGGAGGAAATAGAGAGAATACAGGGGGGGCGGGGTGATTGTGATACACAGGTTTGGATGTTAAAGACGTTTCTTTTTTTGGGGGTGTTCTGTTGTTAAATGGATCGAGTGAGGAAGGAAGTGACAGCGTCAGGGTTAAGGAATGAATTTCCTTCTTGGCCCGGCAGAAGTTTGGATAACATGATAAAGATGATGATGATGAGCGTGGTGATGGGTTTTGTCATCAGTTGAAGCGGTAGCAGCAGGAAAAGAGTCGTAGGAGTTATATTACAGTGTATTACAACACTATACTATTTAGGCTTTTCTGATCAGTTGTGGTGTTAAATCAGAATCAGAATCTGGGTTTATTGCCAAGTACTTTTACACATACAAGGAATTTGACTTGATGTGTTGGTGCTAAACAATTAACAAGGAAATAAAGCAGAACTAGCAACAACTTAAATAATACAGTATAAGAATATATAAAATAGAATTTAAAAATGTAAAATGTAAGACATAAAAAAATAAAAAAAAAATTAATAATAAATAAATAAATAAATAAATAAAAAATAATAATAAATAAATAATAAATAATAATAAATAAATAAATCTCTGTTAAGTTAAGGGATCGTCAAATAGACAAATGTAGTACGTTTATCCTGCATACAATAAGGGCTTTGCAAAAGCACAAAACTGAATCTGGGAATTATGAACTTATGTTTCTCCACTTTAAGGTGGGCTAAACTCTACAAGATAATCAGGCCAAATTTTAAAATCAGAATCAGCTTTCGGTTCGATTCTCTCCTTCTGATTAAAGTGAGCAAAGTCAAACTTTTTTGATTTCTTCTGAAAATGATCTCATACGTTTTGTACTGGTGTGTTTAGAGGAGGGCTTGAATCTAAAGTCACATTCGATTGCAGAATATTTCATAAGATTTGCAGTCTTAAGAGTCAGGACTTTGGTTTTTAGGTGAACTGAATCTGTTAGTGTGTGTGGTGTGCTGGTTGGGTCATTACATTGCTCTCCATGCACCATTGGAAACAACACTGTTAAATCTCTCACATGTCCTCACCTGTAAAGATTCAATCTTTTAGTGCGGGCCAGGCTCAAGCTTCCCTGCTTTGTAATAATATTATTTTAAGACATTTGATACGACAAAACATTTATTTAGGTTTACCTCACTAGCTTGTCTTACGTTGTAAACCATGTTAAAGGAGCTCCATTAGCATGTGAGATAGATGGATATATACAGACTTTATCAATACCTGCAGGGATATTAAATGGCTCTTGCAGCCGATGACATTAGCGTGATAATAAAAAAGAAAGAACAAACACACACACATGGATGGGTGGGTTAGATCGCTCTTATATTTGCAGTTTGATTCACGATGTGACCTTGTGCAGATTAGTGCTATGCAAATTAAGATTAATATTATGTAAGACAAGATTTAAAAAAAAATCTCTTCACCAAAGCATTGACCCTCTTCCGGTGGATTGTGAGTCATCATCTTGTGACAGTCACAACATGGCAGCGTCGACAAAAAGGCCTTTCACAAACACTAATGTTGAACTGTGACATCTTCAAAAAGCTGCGTCCCGCTCGAGTCAGGGCATGAAATGATCAGAAATACAGAATGATTAGATCAATCTGCTTCTGCTGGAAATAAGAAAAAAAACAACAGATTCAGAAAGTGGACAAATCCATCACAAAGCTTCATGCTGACCGAGTGAAATGTAAGACTGTTTAATTTTTGACTTATCATGGCACGTCGACCATTGTAAGTGTGAGTGTAGGAACAGAATAACATTTTCCTTCACTCTCACTTTCTATGGACGTGTTGTTGCTTTGATCCAATCTCCACATTGCTTAAGCTCTGATATCAGCGTGTGCTGCCATTTGAATCCCATCATAACAAACACTCCCGCTGCAGAGTGAGACCCCCCCCCCCCTCTTCTCTTCTTGGCATGGCAGGGTCTATTTCACTTCCTGTTCAGTAGGGGGGGTGGACAGGAAACAGGAAACATGCTTTTCTGGTTCCCTCAGAAGGTATATTTTTCTTCTGATTGGGGATCTGCGAGTGTAACAGAATATCTTTAAGGAGTTTACGTCCCTGGCACCTTGGCAGCTGTAATCAAAGCCTCCTGAAAAAAAGAGCGAGTGTTTCCAGTCTGAGGGCAGCGGGGGTCCGCCACGGAGACTTCATCCATACAGTGAGAAGAAACATGAAAACATGACCGATCCGTCCCACCAAGAACATTCTTTCTACCAAGTGTAAAAGTATTTAAACGTATTCAAATCTCAACAGGGCCAGAGGCAAACCGAAGTCAAACAAAACGCGGTTCCTGGTTTTAATTTTCAAAGATCAATATCACCTCAGATGAATGTCTCTGTGGTGGATCATAATGAAATGCAATAAAAGCTTAATGTCTCTGAAGCCGAGAGGAGCAGTTGACAGGGAAGATGGAGGTGGAAGTTTTGAGGATGTGCGGTCGGAGTTCTCATAAGCTGCAACGACTGAATACTTCTTTATTGACTAATGTCCCTGTCACTGTTCAGATGAATGAATCACTTTCGCTGTAAATGTAAAGAAAGTATGAAGTAGGAACACCAATGAGATGGTCCAAGATCACAAATCTCAAAGATGATGTCCTCTAGTTTTTTAAACAGAAATTCCATACTCTGATCCCCCACGGGGGATCAATAAAGTTTATCTTTATCTTTTATCTTTATCTTTAAGTACTTATAGTAAGTCATTATAAGTTGCACTGGTATATAAGCTGCAGTCTGTTTCTGGAGGTCTCTCATTCGGTAAAAAAAGGTTTTGATTTCCTCTGTGTGCAGCACAACGTGTAGTTTCTGTGCAGCTGTGTAGCGCTTTGTGGTTCTGATTTCGCCATGTGGAGTTTGCAAGCATGCTAGCTACCTGTATGGAAGCTGTTAGCCTGTTAGCATCAGGGGAACACCTTTCTCAAAACACTCTTTCAACCAACAGAGGTGTACAATAAAAATGAATGTCATAGTGAGGGGAAAAGTACAGAGCACTATTAGGACCAGGCATAAGAAGTTTAATAAGATCTTGTGTTTGCAGCCTTTCTTTCTCAACCTTTGAAAAACTGAATTAATCTCCACCGTCTCTTCCTTTTTCCTGTGCCTGGCTCTAATCCTGTCTGTTACAAATGAATGAATAAACGAATAACCACAAAAAAATACATGTTCCAAAAAGCACAAACTTCAACTTCATGATGTGAAGAGGTCGAAAAACCAGAAGGAAACTCCTTCACTTACGGGACTCCATGTCTATCAGGCATATCTTCCTCTGGTGTGCATCATCGGCATACCTCCACACACGTCCACATCAGGGATTAAAAGAATAACAAAACACACAGAGACAACAGCAGCGCGATGAATTATGAATCAATACAAGCTGCAGCACTCATGGAGTGCTCGCAGGCTGCCGGGGCCATCTGGGGATGCGTGGAAAAAGTATGACGACGACGAAGCCCATTCATTGAGCTGGGGATGTACCCGCATGCACTGCCTGCGTCTCTGCTATACACTGCAGGCTCTCCTCGATTGGCTTCAAGTTTCACCCAAAATCCATCTTCTCTCTGCTCATTGATCGGGGGAAGATTGGGGAAGCAATTCAGCACGGACCCGCAGTGCTGAAAAACTGCTGTGGCTGACAAGATGCCAGCGTTTAGAAGTTTTTTTTTTTCTGGCTGGCTGTCACTGCGGTGGACTCTGCTTTGGGTAACAAGTTTGCAAATGTCCACTCGGCAGCTGTTTATGCATACAAAGTAGATGCAGGAAGATAAACTAAACCCATGCCAGGAGAGGAAAATAATGCTAAAATCCTGTTGCCAATCAGAAACAAAAGAAAAGTCTCAAATCATGGCAGTGGAATGTTTCACAGTAAGTCAGGCATGAGGCAAAAAAAAGGTGAACTCAACAATAGAGCCAAAGAAAGACAGAAAGAAAGAAAGAGAGGTAGAAAGGTCAAAAGAGACGGGCGAAGAGAGGCGGATTTCCAAAGGTTTCCATTCACTCACTGCCTCCCCAGAGTAATCCCACATCTCCCCCAGAGGACGACGCATTGTGTCGAGCAGTCGGCGAGCTGACATTTACCGCCTGCCTTCTGTTGCTTTGATTATTTTTTTCACATCCAGGTGTGATCCAGCCGCCTGCTGTCTCTGCACAATAATGATGCAGCAGAAGCACGCTGGAGGAAAGCTAGGGAATGCAGAGGCGGAATCAGGACCTGCAGAAACCTTTTTACTGACTGGGTCGAGTCTTTTTTTTTGGATTGGGAGGTAAAGAGGTTGCTGAACCATGAATGGACGCATGACTCCGATAGAATGCACACTGTAAGTGTTACCAAGCAATTACTGGATTTTCAAGGTGCCAACAGAGGACAAACTAAAACTACTGCACAGGACTATTTAGGCAGAAAGCTAGTTAATGAAATCAATCTTCCAGCACCGACACTTTTTAAATCAGACCCTTTAAGGTGTAAGAATCCACGCCCTACCTGTCTGCAGATGGAGGTCTGTCGTTGCGGCCCTTGCTGACTTGTGTGTACAGGGTGTCTGAGAGTTGTTGATGGTGGTGTGAATGGACGTGGGGGTATTCGTCCCGGGGGCTGTGGGGTCGGCTGTGCCCGCTGTCCACCGAGCTGTTCAGGGGGTTGATGCCTGCGTACGGGTGCTCCTCCTCCGACGCCCTCTCCGACGTGCGGCTAATGTCCAGGATTTCAGCGTAGTCCCGTTCCCTGGCCTGACGCTCCCGCAGTTCCCGGGTCTTGGCCTGGATCCTGGGTGAGATTTAAATAAGACATGTTGGATGCCACATGCTCTCACTTGGTACTCATGCTTATTCTATTTAGTTTTTTATTGTGTTTCCTTCTGCTATATTGTGTTTACATTAGATTATTGATGCTGCAATACAGAGTATAAATCATAAATATTAACGTTTGAAGCCTGAGTGTCGTCAGCCTTCTGTTCCTGCCTCCTCTGGAGGCTCATCAGCAGCAGCCTCCATGTTGGAAATCCTGTCTCAGTCTAACTTTCAGTCAACCAAACGACAGGCTGAGAGCTGGAGCTGAGGCGGGTTTTAAGCCTCTTGACGAACCGTTACATAGCGCCCACCTGTCAATCATGTCAGCTAGACGCCGAACTATGAACAACATGTATTGTTCATTAAATCAAAACAGAGCTGTCAGTGATGACAATAACTAATCAGACCTATTTCTTTTTTTGTATCAGGCTGTAAACATGTTAATTTCTGCTGTAAAAACAGCTTTTTTGCCTGTTGTGTGTATGTGACTTAGGGTGTTCCTGGAGCCAGCCTCTAGTGGACACTCGAAGAACTGCAGGATTTTGCACTTGACCTCATTGGTTTCACTTTTCAAGACCAGAGGTTGCTGCTCGGATTAAACATGTCCACAGGAAACCTTGCACTTTTCAACATGCACCTTAACAGAAATCTGATTTTCAACTGCACATAAACTAAACATGAGGCTACATTTTGGAGCAAATATTTGCTTTTCCCGAACACTTGGAGGAGCTCCTGTGAAGAGGTAAATGTTGCAACAGTGAGGTTTTCCAGCTATACAACTACATCTCAAGCAGAACAACTTTCATTTGTTGGGTTAAGCCTCAGTTATTAGAGACGTGTCAATATGTGCAGGACGTCCTGCTATGTTGCTATTATAAAGAGATGTCTTCCTACATGTTGGGTTCAGTTAAAAGCATCAGGTATGTTAGCTACTATAAGCCAAACTGACCACTGTTAACTGTAGCTGAATCCATTCTTGAAGGTGAATTGGTATATCCTGACACTTCTACTCCACCACACATACAATAGTGACTTAAAACACAACGGCTTACATGACACTGTCAGAAAAACAACTACATATTTAGCACTGTGCAATAAATGCATGAAACAAGTCAAATCCTTTTTGCATCATCGATAAAACATCTCTGTGGGAAATCCAAACCTTATAGTTGACACTAACCTGGAGTTAATCGAGCTAAAGCCTGCGCAGTGTATAAACACCGTGCGGCTGAGAGATGATGTAAATGTCACATGTCACATTAACGAAAACACCAGACGAGCTGCTGCAACATCTGTAAGCCGTTGTTTATTGTGCCTTTTTAACTCTCCATTACAGAGTGAATATGTGGACTCTATTATTTATGTGTTTTTATTCCCCCCCTCTCTCTGAATAATACCATAAACAATACATAATAGTCTCCCGCCCCCACAACAGCTCACACAAAGAGAAGCACTTTGTATATCATTCACAGAGTGCTGCTAATGTATAGCTACCATGCTCTTTTCTCTTTGTGTCTCAAACACACACACACACACACACTCTGACACCTCTCTGTCTCACATCACACACTGCAATCACACACACACACACAATCTCTCTCTCTCTCTCTCTCTCTAGGCCATTATCTTGTGAATAACTGGCAACACCATTTTGTACAGCAGGGGGGAACTACCTATCGCGCAGCCCCCATAATTACAGCCTTGCCAATTATCAGAGCTTTACAACTACCAATTATCACACAGCTCTCTTTTTCTCCAGGCCCCCCTTTTTAATGGCAGCGGGAAAGCGAATGGGACAGCCGCGGCGGCGGTGACGAAGCAGGGGGGAAGCAACTTCACTGAACACTTCGCAGGCTTAAAAAAGTCTGATGCTTCCTGCAGAAAAAAATCTGCATGCTGTGCATAATGAAACAATAAGTTTAACAAGGAGGGCCCCCACCACCCCCCACGTTGAAGGTTAGGAGCAAAAAGGGAGTAATTGGTAGGGAATACTTTTTCTTTTTAAAAATGAGGCTTGGTGGGGAAAGTTTTCACAGAGCACTGTGGAGTCTGGACAGGCCTAACAATGTCTTTAATAAAATGTGTACTTATCCGAACAACCCCCAAAACAATTTCTCATGAAAGCTTGTAGACTTGAAAGCTGTTTTTTTTTTTTTTTGTAACCATTTGTGGACTCAGCAATTATCTAATAGCGCAGAAGGAAGCAGGGGCCCTTGAGGGATCTATCTTTAAACCCAGAGGAAAAACAGTGTTTTCCATGTGAGAGAGCAGAAGCAGCAGCAGAAGTGGGAGCAGAAACTGATTGTATACACAAGCACACAGTGGCTGATAAGATAAGGCCAGACATACCAATCCAGCAGCTAGGCTTCTATGTGCACCCCCCCCCCCCCCCCTCCATCCCAACCCCTTCCATAACAAGGCAGTGGACAGGGTCAACAGGGGCCAGTTTCTGAGTGAGGAAGGATGTAGCTGTGCTCCAGTTGTTGGTGTGTGAGAAAGGATACGGTCTCAATTCTTAAAGACTGAAGCTTTGAATAACACGCAAAGAGGGCAACTTCAGAACCGGTCTGAAATATGTCCAAGTGCACAAATGGAACCTCGATCATTTTTCTCTTGATTATTTCTGCTTTGAATCGGATTGAGTCTGTGTCTAATCTGTCAATAATGTCATGCATGTTAGAGTTTCTTTAACCATTATCCACATAATACTTTTGTGTTACTCTGTTTGTACTGTAATGTTGGAGCGACCTAGCACCTGGAATTTCCTTCAGGATTAATAAAGTCCTTTCTTATCTTATCTCTTCTCATAAAGACCAAAACAATGTCAGAACATTTTCTCAAAATACATGATTATAACTTCAAAATATAGACAGCTGATGGTCCGTTTCAAGCTGCAAACTCACACCCTGTTTGATTATGTGATATATAACATCTTCTTAAATCTTTGGTCCTCTTGGTCTCAGCTCGGGGTTGTTGGGTTCTTATGATGGGTCCTGTGATGTTTGGATTAAAAATGTTGTTGGGTATATTGCTGTTGGATTTTCTTTTGTTGTTCAGGCTATTTTGTCTCAATTCTTTCTGTTATCTATGTTCTTTGTGTTTTGGTTCTTCTGCTTTGTTCTTCTTCACGCGTTTGCTGTTTTTCAAAGCACTTTGTAAAGCTGTGTTTTTAAAGGTGCTAGATAAATAAAGTTATTATGATTATTAAATTACCAATTCTCACACTTCTTCTGCCGTCCTAAAGAAAGATTTATTCTTACTAATAAAAAATGTATCAGAGGCAGAATGAGCAAACTTCATTTTTCATTCACGCCATGCATAATCAAACATGGAAATGCAATCACAACCATTTGAAGATATGTAGTAAGTAGGAGATCTGTATTTTGATCGTACAGGTTTTTATTAATGCACAATGTAGACCTGTTGTGCTGCTTAAGTGGATCATTTGAATGTTTTTCTCTGTATGGTTTAAACTGGGGGACCACTGGGAGCCTTTGTAACTGGTGTAACTCAGTGGTGGCCACAGCGATATCTTCCACAGGAAAGCTTTTCAAAGTCACCTTTAAGGCCTTCAGGGAGTGATTGTTTTAATTGCATATTCCCTCATGACTAAATCTAAACCTGACAACATGACAAGAAGTGAAAAAGCAATGTTCTAAAGATGTACGATTGTCCAAATACTACGAGTCTGCTGATTGAAACGGGGACAGGAAGGAAAAGCACACTTGGCCCTAATCATTACCCGTTCAGTCCCACAATATTTGTCAAAGGAAACTCCTGTTTTCTTTCCAACGGCTAACCTTGATGAGAGATGAAAATACTCTATAGGGTAAACGAAAGAAAAGAGTGAGAGGGCGAGCGAAACGAGAACATGGCAGACAGAGAAGGAAAGACGGCTGATAAAAAGGGTATAGAAATGGATTGGATGAGACATTACAGGAGAAGAAATGTGTTTGACGAGTGACCTTTCTACCACATCAAGCCAGAACAATGGTCCATTATGTGCTATTGTACCCACTGTGTAATGAACCTTCCTCTTGGCGGTAATGCTGACACAACTGATAGACCAGGGTGAAAGGCAGGAAGTACATGAAAGGAGAAGGGTCCAGCAGGATAAGATGGCTGCTCACAGTCCCTTTGAATAGATAACGTTGGATTATTTGGAAGTGTTTCAGGGATTTAGTATGTAATCGACTTCTGTAAAGATTTTGAGTGAAGAAGTGGTAGTGCTGCCCAATGTCAGGGGAAGTGTAAGGGGACAAATAACATGATACACAGCACACTGCATGGTGTAAAGACTGACCTTTACATTTTGACGATATGCCTGCCTCTTCAAATAACAACTACGGTCGAACGCAGTGTTTGGACTACAGAACTCTAAGCCAACCAGAACCTTCATAACCCGCATTATTCCTGCTGATCAGCAGGGGGCGACTTCACTCGTCGCAAAAATACCTATACTATCATATTACCTCTGTCAACATTTTTCTCATAATGTATGGTCAACATCGTAATTTAAAAGTCTTACCTGCAGCCTGATTTCTTTTTTGTTAATTATGGTTGAACTTGGAGTAAAATAGACCATAATGCAGGGAATACTATGGGACATGGCTTTCTATGATTGAAAAGCTGCTTTAACACTTAACTATAAACTAGTGTGGAGGCTTAGAAATGTCAAGATGGAGTTGCCAAAATGCTCAAATCGAGGCTTCAAAGCGGTGGTGCACAAACAAAGTGGTGACGTCATGGTGGTTCCATTATTTTCCGACATACATTCGACGGTCTATACATGTCTCCGCCCGATCTCTTGGCTAGCACTAAAGTAAAGCGTGATCAAAACTGGAAGTGTCAAAACTTAGATTTCCAACTAATAGTCAAACTGAAATGCGTCAGTATTGACCAGTGCCAGTTTTACTACTGGTGCATCCACAGGTAATGGATTTTAATCCAATTGCTTGGAATGTTTGTAACAAAAAAGCACTTACTGATTCGGGCCAAATAAACTTATATTAATGTTAAAAGAAAACTGTTTGCCTGCTCGTCTTATCACCGGACATTTTGACAGCAAACATCAGTTTATTCTCGTAACTGTCCGTCTAGATTTGTTTGCCTGGCTGGGGCTGGGAGTCCACAGAGACCCAAGACTTAAACCTGCAAGGAAAATCCATCCATCCAGTCAATCACAGCTGGATTAAGCGTAGCCTCTGGCAGTGGCCAATCAATAGTCGCTCTGCAGCGAGGTGTCGAAGTTCGAGGCTGAACCTTGGGAAAAGCACACGGCTAACTGGATCATTGCTTTAACAAAGAAGCAACCACATGTCTTCCACATCCTCAGCGGGATGTCCCCCCGTCAATATCCAAGTATCTCAGCCAGTGGTTAAACACAAATGAGAGGCATGCTTGTGCATTTTGAGGGGGGGGCTTGGGGAGAGGTACACTTTACTGGAGTGAGTCAAACACACAATAATAATGAATGCATTGACTTAAGAACTACAAACAGACAATCCCAAGGTGGTTCCTGCTCTGTGGATGCAGAGTGAACCTACCTTTTTTTTGGTAGAGGTTTGATTCCTCAAACACCAATTTAGCTTGATTTCCCTTAGCTCCTTTTTGCCCTGAGCACTCTACATACACTCTACACTCTACAAAACCATTACACACATAAAAGAACAAACTAGAGAACAAAAGACTTCTTGCAGAGTTCTTGCAGAGACCCAGCAGCTATAAAGAAAAAAAAGTCTACAACCAAAGAAGCAGAGGCAGCCCAAACTCTTCCACGTTGTATTAGTTCACACTCTGTAGTGTGTTTTAGCTTCAGAGACCATTCAATCCAATTCTCTACATCCAGTGTTGCTGACAGCGAAATGAATCTCGATTAACAGCTTTTTTTCTGTCGATATTAAACCCTACATTCCCGACACCAGCAAGGGGAAGAAGCATGCGTCTTAGAAACTCTCCAATAGTTCCACAAAGCAGAGCTTCACACCTTGTAGGATTCAGATTTCCCCGACGGATATACAAACTCAAGATGTTGAGTGAATATGAAATGGTAGCAAGTTATCTTTGTGACTTATATACATGGTCCGTAATGGATTTCTGTGTTGCAACATGTTTGAGACTTCATCATGATAATGCATGCACATGACTTTGACATTTAAGAAGGAATAACAGATAAATCCACAGGACTGAATGAACACACAAAAAGGACCACTCTGAACTTTTTTCCTGATTTGCCAGCATAACAAGTGAATCCTCCGACACGGCATTTGCGTTAACCTTATCCCAATTAAAAATAAAGCCTTGGCTATTACCATATTATGGGACTATCTGCTCTGCCGGCGTAAAAAAAAAGAATTACAAACTCAAATTTGATAACGAGCGACTGCAGGGAGTAATGACTCCTGCCCCCTACACCAAGAGCATGGGAATTAATTAGCTGGCGAGGCAGTAATGGCCTTGGCATTTACAAACCGCAGCCCCAAAATACTGGCACACTGCCCGACTGACATTTAGTTTCGAGAGGGAGAGAGAGAGAGAGATAGAGGTTCTGAGAAAGAGATCTACTGGCTTGGGGCTGTTTGGTTTAGGGCACTCGAGCGAGAACAGTTCCAAATTCAGAATTTATTTGTTTCTTTTACTTTTAGCTCATCTTTTAAACGAACAAATTCTTGATTTATTAAGTCATTTATATTGTATTTTATTGCACTGATGGCTTTCTGTACAACAAAGAACATTTTCATTTTGTAGAGTCAATAAATTGTCAAAGAGGGAATTATTTTAGTCTGATTGTTGTGAGATTCAAAACAGTCTTCAAGACCACTTGTTTCCGTCTAATCGTTTATTGGGCTCATCGTGCTGCAGAAATCTGTACTACTTCAAAACAATAGTGCTGTTTGAGGAAAGTTTACCATTTGTCAAAGTCTGGCAATATATTTTTCTGCTCTTTTGATACGTTTTTTTAATTAATTCTAATTGGTAAGGTGTATTTTGTTTTTAAATATTCACACTTTCGGTCACTACCCACAGCTCATAGGTGAGTGTTGGAGCATAAATTGACCTTCTGGCTCAGCTCCCTCTTTACCACTTTAACAAAAAAGTTAACATATCAGCAAAAACGTTGTATTTCTGTTCCATTTAAGGAAGAATGTGCGACTTTTTCATCCAGTAGGTGTCGCCATTGAGCGCCAGCATTAAACCAAAACAAACTGCTGTTTGTCCACTATTCTGAATCCTCCGCTCTCCTCCAGAGTCATTTTTTTAAAGCAGGAATCTCTACCAGAGGACTTAAAAGAAACAGCCAAATTAATTTTGCAGTTTTCAGCATTCTGACTTCAATGAGCAGAAATAAAGAAAACAAGAGAAGCAAAGGAGGAGAGACGACCTAGAGGCTTTAATTTGGCTGCTCTTTGTAACTACGATCAAGGCTTTTTCAAAAACATGTTTTTTGCTTTTAAAACATTGTGACTGATCCCAGCAAGAAAAAAAAACAGCTATTAAATTCATTTGACTCTCTCTGATTCAAACAGCGCTGCAGTTACGACAGTTCTTCCACGCTTTGATGACGGATCTCAAAGTCGGAAAGCACACAATGTCCAAGAAAGAGAGTTTGTTCCCAGAAATGACAAATCTAAAGCAATAATTCAACATGAAGACCTTACCTCTCCTGCTCCATCTTCATCTTCATCGTCTCCTCCTCTGAAACCTGTGTCTCCACTGCGCTCCATTTACTGGAGCCTTTACGGTCCAGCTTTTCCCCCGGACGCTCGTCTTTCCGGTGCTTTCCAAACCTGGAATACAAATAAAGAGGACACAGTCAATGTATGTTGGAACACCTGAGGGACTGCTGTGCATTGTTCAACTACATTTTCTGTTTGTATTTTTGAAGCTTTTTTTAGTCATGATGTCCAAGTCGCTGTGTAGTGTCAGAAAAAGATCAGTGAGGTGATGGAAGGTCGAATGTCAATGACACCTTTTACATTATTTAAAACTAACACAGGAAAACATTGTGAATTCTACTTCCCCAGTCGGTACTCTCGTTATGTACACCAGGCCTATTCAACTGAAGACCAACGGGCCAACTCCGGCCAGCAGATCATTTGTATTTACAATTTAAAAATAGATCATAATCAGGGGGAAAAACTTGCTATTGACTGTCATTGTTGCCACAGTAAAGACTAGTAAAGTTTAATTGCACAAGTTTAAGTTTGATTCATCTCGGGGTATTCTTTAAATCTTTTTTTCAGGTTAATATATAAGTAGGGGGGGCGTCGGTTTTGTAGTTAATTTTTAGTTTCATGTCATGTACGTCTTTGTAACCTGCTACTGGATGCTTCACTCGGGACCAATAAAGTATCTATCTATCTAAAAACAGCAGAGCGCTCCCGTTTAATAGAACATCTTTGGTCCTGTGCTCGCAGCCGATCACAATCTTGTGTTGTTAATGATGAAAACGGCTTTCGTGCGGCGTACTGCTGTGGTGGGCTAGCATGTTCCTTAGCTTTCTGAAAATGTGGCCCCCTGAACAATATAGTTGGGTTAGCCCTGATGTACATGATAAGTCTCTCCACTAACATCGCCCTCCAGAGCCTTAACGGGTTAACCCAAAGTGAACTGATCTCACTCAAAATGTTTTTCAGTGATCAGGGAAACAGCTCAATGTATGACTGAACAGCTGATCAAGCCCCCCGAAACCAACCATCTGAAAAGTACTTTTCACAAGTTCAAACCCAATTCAGCTCGTTTAAAGCAGGTGGCGTGAAGACGCGGCCCATCACTGTAATTATATTCATAGGGAGGGAGTTACGCTTAACGAAATAGGAAGCCATTGCAGAGATATTTCAGCTTGATTGACTCGGTACAAAGCTGCAGCCTGTTGAAGAAATGACTTTGGCACAGCACTCGCTTCTACAATGAACCGCCGTGATTATTCACGGGGAAATTGGTCCGCGGAGAATATCTACGACTTCTAAAGAGACAACGCTGAGAGGAACCAAAGAGGTGTGTGTGTGTGTGTGTGTGTGTGTGTGTGTGTGTGTGTGTGTGTGTGTGTGTGTGTGTGTGTGTGTGTGTGTGTAAGTAATGGAAGAGACAGACGACGGTGAATGAGAGAAAAAAATTAGTTTGTGCAAGAGAGACTCAATGAATGAAACATTAAGAGAGAAAAATTGAGAAGAGAGAAAAGTGAAGAATACAAAGACAGAGTCAAGAGTTGTGTGTGTGTATGTGTGTGTGTGTGTGTGTGTGTGTGTGTGTGTGTGAGGAAAAACACAGAAATATGTAAAAGAAAGTAAAAAAAAAAGAAAAAAAAAAAAAAAAGAGAAAGTCAGTGGATCAAAAGCAAAGCAAATAAACATATAAAAACAAAAGGTGTGTGAGTGTGTTCAGAAATGAGGCAAGAAAAGTACAAACTGCCCAACAGGTGTAAGAAAAGAGAAAGAAAAGAAAAAGGCACGCTGAGATTGAGGGTCTGTGAACATGAGCATGAAAAACAATACAGAAGAAAGAGAATTGAAAACAAGAGAAATAAGGTAAAATCAATGAGAGCAACACGGAGACAGAAAGAACAACATGAGAGAATGAACAAGCAGAGAGAAAAACCCCGTGGTGTCAGTGTGGAGGTGTGTGAGAAACATGAAGAAACAAGGTAGAAAAAAAAACAATGGGAAGGAAAGGGGAGAGGGAGGCGAAATGAAAGCTGGAAGAATAAGGGGATATTGTGGAGGACAAAAAAAAACAAAAAACAGGTATATGGGAAAATGAAAGAAATGATGAGAGGAAGAACAAAGAAGGAAACAAACATCACATTGGTTTCTGGACTGGATTTGATTTTCCACAACTTTTCTCTCAACTATCCTGAACCTATGTTGAGTTGTTTTATGACCTGGAAAGTTCTCCTCCCTCGTTTTTTTGTGATCATCGTCTTGGAAATGTCCAAACCAGTTGAAGCGTGCCCTGTGTGAGCTTTGATTTACTTGCTCAGATGTTTCCTAACTTTCAAACAGAATGGGTCAGAGTCGTTCTCTTGCTGCGTCTCACTCGCCCAGTGGACTGAAGCCCCCAAAAGGAAACGGTCCTCGAGCAGAACACATCCTGCAAAGCTTCAGCTCTGTGTGAACCAAGAACAGGAAAACAGAAAATCCAGAGAATAAGGCTGGCAGATGCTACCCAGATGTTCAACATCTTGCCTTTTTATACGCGGACATTAGATAGCTACTGCTGGATTTTCATGTACCAGTGAACAAGTGTGAAGTTTATCCAGTGACCAATAACAGAAACTAACCTTTTTTTATGTTTTGAATACATTTTAAAGATGACTTCCTCCCAAAATAAAATCAAGTTGGCGCCGAGCCACCAGCATCGCAGTGTGTCGTCACTGTACCACCACCTGGCAAAGCGTTATCTCCAACATTTGACCTCCATTGTCAGTTTGAATAGAGGTAGTTATGCTTGAACTTTTTCTTTGATATTTGTTCCCGTCATTTCATGCAATGTGGAAAATATCTTCACCAGGTGATAATAGCATCCTACATTCTGCTATAATGTCCAGTGTAAACACAAGAATGCTCTGAAAATAGCAAATAATGGAACAGTTCAACAGAAATGTCAGAAAAGTTAGTAATTTTATACATTGGTTGTTGGTATGACTTAAAAGTCTTGATTCCAATGTGTGCTTACATTAAATTAATCTGTGCTGTTTCATTGATATTGCAGAGAAGCAATAAATGACTCTAAAGTTTCAGTGAAAACGTCATTTAGAGCTGTGAATCACTCTAATGTTGTCCATCAGACAAACTCTGAACATTTCTCAGAACTGAAGCAGATCGCTCAAGAGGAAAAATAAATAAATCCAATAAAAATCTGCATGTGATTAACTTCTCAAAGTTTCTGGATTCTCATGACAAATTGAGATTCACATACGACAACACGCACTGATGTTGTGGAGTGTTAAACACAAACCAAGAGATGGGATTGGGGATGAGAAACTGCAGAGAGGATGCGGGGTGTGGTGGTGGGGGGGGGGGAGCTTGGAGACTAAGGTCCATTACCTGATTAATTTGACTGCGGCCGCCAGAAACGCTCAGAGTGACGGCTCGCTGTTAATGCTAAGAGCAGGAGCGATCTATCACCACGAGAGACGGTTGACACTTTCTCTCTCCACACCACTAACTTTCATTAACAGCCTCTTAAAAGACAGCCTAACTCTGCTCTTCACACACACACACCACACACACACACACACACACACACGCATATAAACAGCAACACACTGAGATTTATGACTAAACGGAGAAAACTTTGAAGACGAGACGGGGTATTAAACCATGACACCGGGGCATTTCATAATCTTTTATTCCAGGCACAGTTAGGCCCCGCTCGTCTTGTGTGCCCGCCGCCATCGATAAAGAAGCTTTGACTGGTTTGTGCGGTTTGAAAAAAGAAAAAAAAAAAACATCCTCAAAATGTCAAGGATTGAGCTAATTTAATTCAGCAGAGCGACCATGTG